CAGTCACTGCCTTCAGTCACCACCCCGAGCACCGCCCACCGTCCCACTCTCCTTTTGCCAAACCCCCAGACAACGTCGCGTCCATGCCATTGCTGAGCAACAACAACACGGAAACATGTCGAGAAAACGCTGTTCAGTCTGGATGTCAGGAAACTACATCATTGCACAGTAGGGCTGTGACGGTCGCCGCGTCATCCGTTGTCTGTTGCCACCGGCGGTAGTGCACGTGACGTCACACTCTATAACAAGCATAATACAAAGTTTTGTATATAGTATAATAATAGTAACAGTTGCAAATTGTTTTATTTAGACTATAAGTCTATGCTAATTCACAAATTACCTCAAACGCCATACACAGCGTTTGATCCTTTAGATTGGCAGGTTTGAGCGCAGGAAAATACAGTACAGAATACAGAAACCAAATACTACATCGCCAATCTGGAATCATTTCCATTCATGTCACCCATCCGCATTTGTACAAGTGTCTTCAAGTTCACGTGATCGCAAACGCTCGGCTGGTCAGGTTTGTATTTACTGCATTCGGTGTTTGAAAACAAAAAACAAAACATGAATTACCATATTGAAACATCCTGTTGTAAGCTCGTTTGAGGAGGTGGTTGGTTGTCTCCTGTCATCGCCGATTCGGGGTCTGAGTTCGGCTCAAACAAGTAAGGCCGGACAACATTTCCCTCAGCTGTGACCATCATTACCGGTGTTTCTATTGACCTTACTTGTGAGTATCACCAATCCACAGCAGGCTACAGCATACATGACCCTAGTTACCTGTGGTTGGCCTGGCCGTGCGTCACTCAGAAAACAACAGGCCAATCAGAAGAGAGGCGCATGAATATTAATTAGATAGGCCAAAATTGACCTGTTCTTTGCAGAGCTCCTGAGAGAGGAGCTGTAGACATATATTGAGATGGTTTTTGGTACTTATACTGCAAATATATTTTCTTAAGGACATCAAGACTTAAAATAAAACTCCAGAAAGTTGTAAAATATGTGACCTTTAAGTTCGACCATCCTACACACACGTGACTGACCGCTCCCTCGCTCGCACCAACAGGAGGAGGAGGGTCGTGTTACTCTCTACACTGCACTCAACCTGAGGGATTCCTACACTTTCAGTCTTTGACGAGACATTAAAAACAGCGCATACCGCAGGAACAATATAACGGAAAATATTAGTGGTTTTGAAACCGTGACATTTTCAAATCGCGGTATACCTTGAAACCGGTAATCGGCCCATGTCAAGTACTGACTCACTTAAAACCTTCACTGCTATGCATACTGCAATATAAAGTGATTTTACAGTAATTTTACCATGGTTAAGGGCATGATAGTCATGACTCATATTGTGCCCCAGGCCAAATCAAGTATGAGACACTAAACAACCCACAAATCACCCCAAAACCAGCCCAGGGGGAAAAAATAAAACCTTCTGTATGTAAAAATAAAATAAAATAAATATCAGTGGATGCATAAAGGAAGCTTTTAATTTGTAATTTGATTAACTTGATCTGTATTGGCATTTTTTTTCATGGCCAGAACTTTTATCCTGTTTCTGTGGTGAGGGGAGGGGAGGGAAGGGGAGGCGAGGGGAGGGAAGGGAAGTATATCACTGGGAGCTGTGCAGAAAAGTTAGCCGCTAGGTCATGATTTATTTTCAATGAGAGTGGCAGGTGGAACGGAGAGTGGGCGAAATCCCATGAAGCTGCTGTGATGAGCGATCGAGAGGCGGATCGCGTGTCTGAGAGTTGTATGCTTGGATGACGACTGCCTGTATCACCTGTGTCAAGACTCACCAGTGGTTAAGAGGGGTGGTTATGTAAGTGGAACCCCCTTAAGCAAGGTAAAATCACTGTAACACACAGCATCTGGTGGCTTTTTGCTTCATGCATGTTGAAAAAAAGTCTCTTATGCTCACCAATTTGAATAAAAGGAGGGGGGGGGACTAAATCTGTTATATTGTAAAATATCATTATAATTTAAAATAACCATTTTCTATTATAATACATTTTAATATATAATTTATTTCTGTGATGGCTGAATTTTTCAAAAGGGTCTGGCTGCAGACTCTCAGACTTGCACTCTCAGACTTGAACTTCCGCTAGCGACGTCACTTGCAGTCTTTTTTTTTTATTTTGTTCTTTTTATTTATTCTTTTTGTTTGAATCTCTCAACATTTTACAACAGTAGCCAGGTGGTGAAGACAAGACAAAATAAACTAATTTACGAAGTCACTTGCAATCGCCACTTGCACTCTCCGATGCGACGTCACTTGCAATCGACACAAATCGTGCGTGTTGCCAGTGGAGACAATTATGTGGTGGTGATTAAACGATTAAAACTATTTTTTTTACTATAACGTACAGGGTCCTGCAAGCCATCTGTAGGAGAAAAAGACAAGACCCGCAAATCCGTGGCCACAGAACTTTTAGCAGCCATTACTCCAGAAAACAGTTATTTTAAATGGCAGTATTTCACATTGATTGATTGATTGATTGATTGATTGATGTATTCGTTGATTCATTTATTCATTCATTTGTTTTTGTTTTTTGATAACAAATGCTGTCTTGATGAACATAAGAGACTTCTTTCAAATTATTCCAAACTTTTGACCAGTAGTATGTGGATGTTGTTTTTGTGTTATTTGTATACCATTGTAATATTTATTAATATTAATATATTGTATTTAGTATATTTTTAATATTTATAATTTTTATATTTTAATATTTAATTTTATTTTAAGTTTCAAATTTTACATTTTTATAGTTTTTTTCTATTTCTCTGTAGCTTTATTTTTATTTCAGTTTTAGTAATTTCACTACTTCAACATGAACCTATTCATTTCAGTTTTTTAAAATCTAATCTCTAATATTTTAGTTTAGTTTAGTCTAGTTTAGTTACCCAAAATGTTTTAGTTTTTTGTTAACAATAACAACACTGACTTATATGGTTAATGTTACTATTAATATTTTAATTTTTAAATGTTTCAGTTAAATTGACGTCCTAATACATATAGTGCAAGAAACTAAAACCAGCATTGTAAATGATAACGTAGTTAGGATATGGAAAAGCATCTAAAAATACTTTTGGCTTTTCAAGGAAATAAAAGACTTCTACTTAATCATATAAAAATATCATTCTCTGCCAAAGTTGCTGTTTATGCGCTCTTTTTGGTGACATCTTTTCGATGTGTTACATCACACACAAAGTGTGACTCAAACATGGTTTCTCACACAATGCACGGTGTCGTGTTTGCAGCCCGGGGTCCAGAAAGCACACGCCCATCAACTTACAACTTCCTCTATGATGGAAACATCAATAAGGGCGTATCGAACATAATGTGATGCTAATGCACAAATTGACAGGGCACTTTCTCACTGCTCTTTCCTGGTGGAAAGCATTGTCGCTGCTCCTTCCTCTCTGTGCGTCATGTGTTGCCGGCGCTTTGGAAGCCGTGTGATTTAGACAGATGGCTCTTCTCATTTGAGCTGACTGACAGCTCACAACCTGTCAATCATGCCAGGAAAGATGAATGTGAGAGAAAAGGAGGCCAGTGAAGTGAAAGGCATGAACACCTCTCACCTTCTTGCACACACTGCATGCTGGGATAGATTGTTTCCTCCATCTTATGCGTTCTGAAGTGTGGGGTATTCTCAAGTGTTTTTAAACCGGTGGACTTCGGTTAAACTGTGCCTTAAAGGGGTCATATGATGCAATTTCAATTTTTCCTTTCTCTTTGAAGTGTTACAAGCTCTTGGTTCATAAAGAAGATCTGTAAAGTTGCAAAGACTAAAGTCTCAAATCCAAAGAGATATTCTTTATAAAAGTTAAGAGTCAACCACGCCTACCTAAAACGGCTCGTTCTAACACGCACCCACATGTCTATGTCACGATGTGGGAAGATTTGCATAATGCCGCTCAAATGGTCACGCAAAGAAAGAACGCGTAACTTTTATTTTCGCTGTAGTATTGTTGCTGCCGCCATGTCGTGAAGACGCTGTGTTTCGTTGTGAAAGCGAAACTACTTTGTTTGGCCTTCCAAAAGAGGACGATATCCGCTTCGTCATGCCTAGAGCTGATCCGTGCTGGTCGCTGAGACAATACATCAACTTTGCGCTGTGGATCACCAGATCGGCTTTCACCGTGGACGAAGCGGAGTCCAGCCCGGGGTCATCACATGTGGTTGCCGCAAGCCCGCCCAAGGCAGACGAACTTAGAGTGGTTACAATCATCCGGGTTTAAATCGCGCACAAATTGATTTGATGTTGATGCAATATTTACACTGAAGCTCGCAGGTGGCTATGGTAAGGGGCATGACCACTGTATATATTGTTTTAATCACTACCAACTGACTATGTGGCTGCATTTGACTTTACAAAACACGCATGATCCCAAGAAGATGCCTTAGTGTCTGATGAAGTCTTGTGTATACATAGGTAACCTTGAGACATCTAAAGTCAGAGAGCTTGGTAGTGAAAACTTTAGTTAGTGACTGTTTCCCTATGGCGGATTGAGCATGCTATGTTTCTATCCAGCCTCCTCAAATTATTATAAGTGAAACTGAAAAGTACAGACTTATAATGATGGGCAGCAGAGCACTTGGTGTGTTATACTCTGAACTTAGAATGTACTCTGCCTTCACACTGGTTCTCGCAGCGAGGTCTCCCTGCTTTAGCACGCACAGAGACTTGTTTGTCTCCTTCAAGTTCAACGGTCTGCATCTATGTCTCCTGCCGTACGCCCACCTACTGAGGGCCACTGGAGGCTGCAGGGAAAATACTCCCGCCTCCACACAATTAAAAAGACGTAATTAGAGTAAAGGGAGGTGATGGCGAAAGATATGAATATTGATGATGACAGTATTATTTTTTAGATGACCAAGAAGACCAACTGTCTGCTGCTTTGCCCATAAACATATCCTTATGAATTAAATAACAGTCTTGATCAGTGGAGAATTAGAATCTTAGAATCTTGTCAATAAATGTAGAAAGTTGAACTCTTAACATTGCAACACAATAAATAACTAACAATAATGGCAAAACAACAAAACTTAAAAAAGAAAATAGTGATAACAGTAATCAGACAGTAAAGTGCATAATTTTTCCATGCCACAATCAGAGTTGGGTATAACGCTGCACAGTAATGCATTACTGTATTCTAATTACTTTTCCTGATAACGCAGTAATGTACTGCATTACATTTTAATTTTATGTCATTTGATTACAGTTACTAATGTCAATAAAATCACGTTACTTACTTAAGTTACAAATGCAGTGTTAAGAAAAACATATGAAGTAAAATGCAATTTAAAATCATGTTTTGCGCGTCAGTATGCCCTTTAATAAATCACCAAAGAATGCGAGCTAAAATGCAGACGAGTCGTATTTAGATGCAATGAAAATATCATATTTCAAACTGATGCACTCGATTTCACATATTTTAGTCGGGTATTATAATTTGGGAAAAGTCCAACTAGTAAAATGCGTTAAAAGTAAAAAGTAAAAAGTTTATGTCACAATAACACTAATATAAGTAAGAATAAATGACTTATCTGAATAATCTCCTCCACTGGATCAAGCTGTGCATCGCATCACGTTCTTCTTCTGAGGTAAATACAAGGTTGATTCCTCACAGCGCGTCTTCTTCCAAAAACAAACCCCTTGTCCAAATACCCACACTTGCGGTCTTGGCCACTTGAGAGCGTGTGCGCGCGACAGGAAGTCACTGAGAAAGACTGTCCCAGGTCTTAAAAACGCCAAAGCGCAGTGCCCTTAACGCACACTAAATCCACACTATCTTAGGCTTAGTGTATCCCATCATGCATCATGTTGTGGAAATAAATCGTGAGACTTTTTGCCGAGATCTCGTTTGAGAGGTCACGGAAACCTTTCCAATGTATGTTAAATATTAATAATAGTTAGATATTACATTTAATTTGGCAGTAAAACAAAGAGTTGCACTTTTAATTGGTCCAAATGAGTAGTGGTGATAATTATTTTATTACAACATTTGCAACTGCTTTTTATCACTATAATTATAAGCACCACAAAATTGTGTCATCTGTTATAGGGACTACTGAACAGACATTTAGAAGTTGATTTTAAAATGCAAAGTATTGAAA